GAATAGATATATGCACACCCATGTTCATTGCAGCACTGTTCACAATAGCAAAAAGATGGAAACAACCTAGGTGCCCATCAATGGACGAATAGATAAATTATGGTATAGCCACAAAATGGAATACTACACAATGATAAAGAACAACGATGAAGCCGTGAAACATCTAATAACATGGAGGAAGCTGGAAGTCATTTTGCTGAGTGAATTTAGTCAGTCACAGAAGGGCAAATATTGTATAAGACCACTATTATAAGAATTCAAGGAAAGGTTTAAACACAGAAGAAAACATTCTTTGATGGTTACAAGGGTGGGGAGGGAGGGTGAGGGTTATTTACTAACTAGATAGTAGATAAGAAGTGAAGGGAAGGACAGCACACAGTACAGGGGAAGTCAGCACAGCTGGACTGAACCAAAGCTAAGAAGTTTCCTGAATACAGTCAAACACTTTGAGAGACAGAGTAGCAGGGGCAGGGGTCTGGGGACCATGCTTTCAGGGGACATCTATGTCAATTGGCATAGCAAAGCTTATCAAGAAACTGTTCTGCATCCTACTTTGGTGAGTGGCGTCTGAGGTCTTAAAAGCTTGCAAGTGGCCCTCTAAGATGCATCAGTTGGTCCCAGCCACCTGGAGTAAAGGAGAATGAAGAACACCAAAGACACAAGGAAAGTATTAGTCCAAGAGACAGAAAGGGCCACATAAACCAGAGCATTCATCAGCCTGAGACCAGAAGAACTAGATGGTGCCCGGCTACCACCAGTGACCGCCCTGACAGGGAACACAACAGAGAGTCCCGGGTGAAGCAGGAGAGAGGTGGGGTGCAGAACTCAAATTCTAGTAAGAAGACCAGACTTAATGGTCTGATTGAGACTGGAGGTACCCCGGAAAGCATGGTCCCTGGATTTGCCATCAGCTCAGAAATGAAACAATTTCCAAGGCCAGCTCTTCAGACAGGGATTGGACTGTGGGACATAAAATGATACTCGTGAGGAGTGTGCCTCAAGTAGATACAAGAGACTAAATGGGCAGCTTCTGTCTGGAGGTGAGATGGGAAGGCAGAGAGGGTTAGGAGTTGGTTCAATGGACATGGGGAATCAAGGGTAGAAAGGAGGAGTGTGCTGTCACAGCATGGGGAGAGCAGTTAAAGTCATATAGTAATGTATGTATAAATTTTTGTATGGGAAAAAATAAAAAAAATAGAAAAAGGAAAAAAAAAATGTGTGCATCATACCTTCCCCCTTCAGTTGGAACCATATTATACACACTTTTGCAACTTGCACTGACATGGACTTAATTCTACGCCAGCACACATAGATTGTTGTTTTTATAGTTCCATTGTATAGGAATAAAGTCAGTAATTAGTTGTTTTGATTATATTAATTTGAAACTTGGGAATATCTGGAGATATTTTTGATTGTCACAACTCGGGGAACAGCTAGTGGGTAGAGGCCAGGTGTACTGCTGAACATCGTGTAATGCCCAAAACATCCCCCCACATCAAAGAATTAACTGGCCCCAAATGTCATTCGCTCTGATGTTGAGAAACTCTGTTATAGTGTTTATTGGTTTTCCTGCTCTTATTGTCTCCCAGTAATTCTCAGTGCTTTGCTTCTTACGTTAGCATAATTTTCAGTTGGTCATCTTATTTCCCTGAGACTACTATCAGACATCTCATGTGAACCAATTGGGAAAATTTTACACTTGGAAAAGAAACATTATCTTGCCTGACCTACACTCTCCTCCTGAGTCTTTTGCCAAAACTGGATCTACATCTCAACTCTTTTGTTCAACTCAGGGTCTCAGCTTCTTGGAAGTGAAAGACCAGCTGCTACTCATGTACCTGATGGATTTGAGCCACCTCATCTTAGACAAAGCCTCAGGAGGGTCTCTGCAGGGACATGCTGCAGTTTTGAGACTGGTGGAGATTCGCACGGTATGAAGCATTTAGCATCTTGGAGTTTTAAGTTTCAAAATCCTGAACTCCAGGACTGTCACACCATAGCTCTCATTTAAATGGATATTCTCATGTTTAAGTAAGGAAACCAAGTGAAAAAAGTATGTTTCTCTTCATTTGCTCTACTTTGTTCATATTTTAGATGTTCTATCTAGCAACTTAATATAGGGACCTTTGTATGTGTTTAATTTTGGGAAGGGAATGTAATTCTGTTTAACTGCTATATTATAGGTTTTGGAAAAGATTCGTCCCTTGGACCAAAAACTGAAGTATCAAGTTGACAAACTGGTCAAGACTGCAGTGACAGGCAGCCTCAGTAAGTGGGGGAAGCTACGAAGTAAAGTAGGGACCATCATAGAGTTCCAAATCTTGTAAAACCTCCTGGGTTTTTTATTTCAGGTGAGAATGACCCACTTCGCTTTAAGCCTCATCCCAGCAATATGATGAGCAAGGTAAGAGATTGCATTATCTTCCTGATTTCCCTGAAGAATCTAAACCTAAATGAGCCTCACAGTGACCCAGGATCTCCTGGGATTCTTTTATTACTGTTGTTTCCCAGTTTGTCCCTTTTTGTTTATATCCACTTTCCCAGGGTGTTCTAGTTGTGCTTTTTCTTGTCATTTGCCTAACTAACACTTCCTAAGTTTGAGGACATTGTATACTTTTCCTAGTTGAGCTCAGAGGATGAGGAAGAAGATGAAGCAGAGGAAGGCCAGCCTGAGGCCTCAGGGAAGAAATCTGTAAAAGGAGCATCTAAGAAATATGTTCCTCCACGCTTGGTTCCAGTACATTACGGTATAAACTGTGGCTGCTGCCTCCTAGGCATGAATTGTGTTTCTTTTCTCCTTCCCTCTGTTTTGGGATAACCCCTGCTGATTTTTATCACAGATGAAACAGAAGCTGAGCGGGAGAAGAAGCGTCTAGAAAGAGCCAAGAAACGGGCACTGAGCAGCTCTGTCATTCGGGAACTTAAGGAGCAGTACTCCGATGCTCCAGAGGAAATCCGTGATGCTCGGCATCCTCATGTCACTCGCCAGAGTCAGGAGGATCAACACAGGTCTGAATCCTTGCATTCAGAAACTATTTCTACACTGTGGAGACCTGTCCTCATGCTTTGGATGAATATAATTAAGTCTGGTACCAAGAGATACACTCTTACATAGGAAGTGTTGTGGAAAGCTTGAGACGATGGTTTTTAAGAATTAGGTAGGGTTTGAAGTACAGAATGGTAACTTAAAAAAAGTCTTTGTTTTTGTTATTTCAACTGTTTAGACTGAGATGTCACATTCTGAAGCACATGCTATATGAAGAGGAACATATGCGGTTCCCCTAGTAGGGCTTTAAAATTCTGTACTTCACTGTCACAGCTTTCACTTTTGTGGAGAAAGCAATAAAGGCAGGTTTGTATAGTGGCCTCAGGAGTGCTAGATAAGTTCAGGGAAGAAAAGTAGATTAGCAGTTGTAACTTGAATACAGACTCATCAACTTTGCTCACATAGCAGCCTCTACAGTTGATACATTTAGGTGAAAGTGTCCTTTAGGAAATCCTGCGTTTATAGAGCTGGAATATAAGAGCTTCCTGATAATATTTGTTTTGATTCCTGTGGATGGACGGATGGGCTATAGGTTCATCTCTAGGGAAGGAGGGAAGTCCTAGCACAGACAATATCTTTTTGAGGAAGCACAGTGCTGAGTATTCTGTATGTCCTTACTAAATACTTTGTTGATGTGCTGTGAAGTTTCTTGAGAAGTAGCTGAACAAGGAATGAGTAAATATCTGGGCTCAAGTTCTCGTCTGCAGCTCTGTCCCCATCGTCTGAGCCTGCTGAAAACAGTGTCCTTCTTCCTCTGGCAGGATTAACTATGAGGAGAGCATGATGGTGCGTCTGAGTGTCAGTAAGCGAGAGAAAGGGCGGCGGAAACTAGCAAGTGTCATGAGCTCACAACTTCACTCCGTCACGCATTTCAGTGACATCAGTGCTTTGACAGGAGGAACCCCTCATATTGATGAGGTGAGGTTGAGATACAGGCTGGGAGGGGACCTTCATGCCACACATGTGGGTCTTGTTACCGTGAGGAACTTGGGAAGGGATCCTGATACTTGGAAGTGCACTGCCATTTCTCCACTTCTCCGTCTGTCTCCAGGACCAGAATCCTATTAAGAAGCAGAAGAAGATGCCTAAAAAGGGTCGGAAGAAAAAAGGTCAGTGAAAGACTAAGGCTTAGGTGATCAAGTGCAGGGTGGGAAGTATGAATTGGAACGACAACTCTCTGGATTTGTCAGCCTAGGTCTCACCAACCTCCATAGTATCTTCTGTAGTGGGCACAAGCCTCCTTAGATGGGCTTGCTTTTTTTTTTCCCCCCTTCTCCCAAACTGAAAATCAGCATCACTCACAAAAGGGATTTCTGGATCCTATTTCTAAGTTCCCACAGCTCCTGTTCAGGCTTCCTTAAGTAGAACTATGAAAGTGTCACTTGAAGGAACAATTAATCCATTTCAGTGTGATTCCTACTTCTAATCTTCTGTCTGGGGGGATGTAGAGTACCACCCAGGGGACCCACTCCTATTGATCTCATCTCTCTAGATGTCCTTTTTTTTCTGTCCCTTCAGCTTTTCCAACTGTCCTTTGCCTCATTCTTGGTTTCCCTTCCTTTCAGGTTTTCGGAGGCGGCGGTGATTATGGGTGTATTTATATATTTTTTGTCATCCTGGGATACTTCTAATTTCACTGTATGTAGGTTTTTGTTCTTGGAATTCATTGTTTCAACATGTGGAAAAATCTTTATTAATAAAATTGATTTTACTTACAAATTAAAGCCCCCTTCGCACATGTATTGTATGAGTGAAATTGCTGAGTGTGGGACATTTTTGGTGAGGGGGTGATGAAAGAGGAAAGATGAGATTTTCTTGGGGGTGAGAGAAAGTGGTTTTATATATTTTTCCTTAAGAATGTATTTTTCCAGAAACTAGAAATTGGTTATCTTATAAAAATATGAGCGATTAGAGTAGTATGATCAACTCTTCCAACCCATGTGGCCCCAACTTCCTATATAATTTGTTACTGTGTTAATTTCTGAAATACATGAATTTTAAGTTGTATTAATGTATCTTGCTGGCCACCAGGTGGCATTAGTGGTTCAGGAAACTTCCTTTGGTGCTTTATTATAATCGAAAGCAAGATAGAACATTTCCTCATTGGCAATAATTATTCTTGTCTCCACTTTTGAATATTTTTCTTTTCTTTCTAAAATAGTGAACATGAGGCTGATCGTTGGTCAGTTATTGAGAGTTAGAAAGTTCAACTGGAGATATAAGTGAATGAGAAGACTGAGTGCAAAGAATCAGTCTAATCTTGCATTTTCCAGCCTCTCTTGGTCTCCTTCAACTAAGGCCTCAGTTTACCAAAATCAGTAAAGCCAGCATTTTTACAAAGAGCTTGCAAGAGAATACCAGTAAGTAGGTAGACAGAAAATTGCTAGCTTGAAGGTCAAAAGAATGAAGATTCCACAGAGATAACAGCCAAACCCAGACCAGGAGACTGGCAGGAGTTACATATCTGAGGTTTTGTATTCTATCCAGAGAAGGACCTCTATTAGCTAAAAATCCCTCGATGCCCTGTCTTAAGAGCTAAGAGTACGTCACTATATTTGGTGTCATTTTTTTTCCTCATCAGGCCTTAGGTAATATAAAAAGTGAAAACCCATCACCGTCGAGTCCATTCCAACTCCTAGTGACCCTATAGGACAGAGTAGAACTGCCCCAGATGGTTTCCAAGGCTGTAATCTTTACCAAAGCAGGCTGCCACATCTTTTTCCCGTGGAGTGGCTGCTGAGTTCGAATCGCAGACCTTTATGTTCTGCAGCTGAACACTTTAACCAGTGTGCCACCAGGGATCCTTAAAAACAGGAATAGACAGAGATAGAAATTGAAGAGTAGAATGAAGTCATTGGAATTTTTTGTTTGTTTTTTTAAGAGTTTTGGGTCTCACGAACAGTTAATTTTTATATCTGACATTCCTGGGCAGTGTCATGGAGAGGAGTATAATTTGGGTCATTTGTTGATTTATACTTGTGCCTGATTGGGGTAGGAGTTTGTTTTCAGTCAGTAGTAGCCTGACAGAAAGGAAGAAGTCAGGATAGTGGTCCTAGCGCTGTCTTCAGCTAACCCTGTGATCCTGGGCAAGTTACTTAACATCTCTGGCCTTTAATTTTCCTCAGCTGAAAAATGAATGTATTAGACTGAATCTCTGAGATGTCTGCTAAATCAAAGAGCCTAGAGCTTTTCTTACCGATCACACCAAGATGGATTTGGTTCTAGGGCCTTTAGCTCTTAGGCTCTGGCAGATCTTAGGGAGCCTGACGTGTCTAGAATCCAACACAGTTGGATTCTAGAGTTAAAAGAAGAGCAGCTTATTGGGCAAGAGTCCTCATACTTCTGTTTCCTTGAATGGATGTAGACAAAAAGCCCCAAGAACAGATTTAGAGATTCTTTAACCTTTCTGGCTAAACTAACTGGACAAGTGGTTCAGCTCAAAAATGCTTTAGTTAGAAAGACCAGACTTGCTGGCCTGACAGAGACTGGAGAAACCCTGAGAGTATCGTCCCTGGACACCATTTTAGCTCAGTAATGAAGTCACTCCTGATGTTTACCCTTCAGCCAAAGATTAGACGGGCCCATAGGACAAAACAAGACTAAAGGGGCACACCAGCCCAGGAGCAAGGACTAGAAGGCAGGAGGGGACAGGAAAGCTGGTAATAGGGAGTCCAAGGTCGAGAAGGGAGAGTGTTGACATGTTGTGGGGCTGTTAACCAATGTCATAAAACAATATGTATACTAATTGTTTAATGAGAAGCTAGTTTGTTCTGTAAACCTTCATCTAAAGTACAATAAAAAGAAAAAAAACAGACCACTGTTTGTTTCTTAGTTAGGACTACTGCATTTGTGTCTTAGATATTAAGATTTTTGGATTATGGGAACTGCCAAGGGAAAGGATATGGTGTTTTTTTTTTTTTTTTTTTTTTT